TAAAGGAAACTTGCACAGAAAGAGAGTTGGGTAGCGTTTGGGGAACATTTGTAACGGTCCCCGTTATAATTAGAACTAGTTTATATTATCATGAATGATTTACAAGGTACTGTAAAACTTGTATGTGTATATAACTTAGGAAGTGCCAACTAGAATGTTTATTTATCTAATTACCACACTGTGTTCTTTTTCATTCTTTGTTCAACGAGTCTTGTGATATACATGTATGTGACCAAAAAAAGTGAGCATAAAATTTGGCAAATTTGAGTACATGTATCATATTGTTGAAGTGTTACATGGTTTCACTACATGTGATGACCGATAAGTATAGGGTTGTTACATTTTGATTACATACTAGCTGTCGTTTCGAACCCAGTGGATGTGTGGCAACAACAACTTTGACCTTGGAAATTGACTTACTTTTAAAATCTTTTACTTTGGACATTACTTTTGAATGATTAGGTTCAGGCTTCCATAATTCACATATGAAACCAAAGAACTAACAACTTTGGCCTTTGACCTTGACCCTGGAGTTTAATCAACCTGTCTGAAATCAATCATTACCCGGGCATTACTTTTGAACAGGTTGGCTAGGATTTTCATATTTCACAGTTTTACTTGTTGTGAGAAGACCTTGTTGAGAAATTAACATTTTAATTTGCATTAACAAAAGTTTATTCACTGATGAAAATGTTAGTGTTTCAAAATAATTATTCATAAGTAAACAAAATTGTTTTGAATTCAAACTGCATACAAAATATATGAATTCACATAAAAGACATTGATAATGTATCATGATTTGGTAATTTGTTTAAAAATCACAGATTTACTTTACAGACAACGAGTGTCATAAAATAATATTTAATTTCTATTATATGGTGAACTTTCTGAATTTGAGCGAAAGCATATAATTATTTCACCGTTACTACTCGTATCGAACAATAGATTAGAACGTAACCATCATTCATTGACAATGATACATGTTGTCTTTTCCTTTTTGCATTTTATCGTTTACATTTCATGTGATTGTTACAATATATAAAATGTCTGTTTGAAAACATAACGCTTATAAAACTATTCTTTTGTTATATCAAATATTGTAGCCATTTTTAAGCACGTTCACGTATTCTGAAGAATTGTTTCCAATCAAGTTTATCTCATTATGTCTGTTATCGAGTTCATTTTTGAATTTGGCTTTCTCTGATGCCAGAAACGTTGATGCAAATAAACAGAAACATTATGAATTATTTTGTTTGTACATCTTTTTTTTTACTGTTGTTAAGATGTTAAAAAAAAAAAACAAACATTTTGCATATGTCTATGGATTCATTTATAACAATGAAATACAACAAATTAAAATTTAAAGAAAAAAAATACTCACTGGAACGAAAGTCAATCAAATGAGCTTCTTACAGTATATTTAATTTATAACAATATTAAATAAAAAAAAATGATGCTCATATTAAGTATATAGATTCTTTGTAAAGTATGTAAATATACCTTTGATTTCTTTATTTAATATATTGTTTAAGATATTAAATTGAAGGGTTTTGCGCCAACGTCAAACATTCAAAGCCTAAGAAGCAGATAGTTTGTACAAACATGTGAGAAAATAACATTAATACGTAATAATTGACTACTTGGAATTACTAGTTGGGATCGGGTGCACAGGAGTAAGCAGCCGTTGTTAACGGGTAGTGCACCCTATATAACGACCAGGTGGACGAAGTTTCCGTACTCAATTTACCCCCCAACCCCCCAAACCCCACCATAAAAAAACCGAACCTTTAATTACCTTTTTCATGTCAAATTCAGTGTATCAATGAAAGTCCTTACAAGATCGTATAATTTTTTTTTAGTCAAATCTCTGTGTTTTAAATAAATGTGTGAAAAAGTTATAAGGTTTGTCGTCCCCAAATTAAATGACAGACACAACAATTAGATAGCTAAAACATAGAACATCTACATCATGTACATGTATTTGTGTAAAATGTAAGTTATGATTTTAAAAATCTCACATTCTTTGTTGTCGTGTGTTATCTTTTCAATAAAAGAATCTACACATGAACATTTCTCTCAGCAGATGTAGATATAGAACAAATCCATCTTTCATTATTTTCTGGTGGCCTTTTTTGTTTCATCAAAACTATATGAATTCCTTGAATGAAAACTTTATTTCCTGTCTATTTACTAACAACTGCTTGTCAAGCTTGTCACACTTTAAATGATTTACACATCAAGGCAAAAGTTTTTTTTTTTTTTAGCAGTTTCAAAATAACACGCCGTTCTTTTCATTAAGTACTTAAAAGATATCAACAATAAACATGGATATCGATTTCATGTATAAAGACTTAAAGACAAAAATAAATTCTTGTAAACTATCTACAGTAAAAACATCAAGATCCATGGGTCTTTAGCAGAGAATGATAATAGTCGGCATTGAAAATTGGGGCTTATGTTTTTGTGTTGGTTTAACCACCCCAACACACATTTTAAAAAAGCCCCCCCCTCCGCCCCCTTCATGCGACGCCTTGTATGTTTTAAATTAAGCTATTGTTTCTGCAAACAAATTTGAAACCACTTCTCTATATTATATAATGAATTTGAAGAAAGTTGAAAAATACTTTTCACGTTTTTATGCAAGTGCATGAAAATTATCTACGCGGATTTAATGTAGTGAAATTAATGTTATTTAGGTACAGAAATAACCGATTGTTGCTTCATGTGATACTATATAATACAATTACATGTACATGTATTGTAGGCATCGACTTGGGAATTTGTTAAAGCGGACATGTGAATATGATGTGCAAAGACGTGAGTTCTACTTTAAATGCAGTTTACAGAGGTGCTATTTTTTTTTTATAATAGGTAATTTACCATTTCAATAAAACGAATTTAATAATGCGACAGAAAACTAAATCTGAAAAAAAAAGAAATTTTCTTCCATTTCTCTCTGGCATTAGTTTCTTATGATTGCATCTATTATGACGTCATAAATGACGTACACCGAGTAACGTCATGTACAACTGTGATTACAAGTACCTATCAGTTTTTTCCCCTTTGATTTCAGAAAATGTAATTTTTAAATTCTTTACCTCATTATTGTCTTCAGTGAACAATTGACTGCTTTTTCTATCATCTTGTGCGTTACCTATTTAGTCGATGTCTTATGACCCACCATGCAATTAGTGACTGACACTAAAAAAGAAATACCGATTCTTGATAACAGCAAAGTTTAAATTTAACTCTTAATTCCTTACTTTTAAAAGCCATGAACAATAATAATAATTGACATGAAAGTTTGTATTTGCGGTATTCATACAATCATATAGTAAGTTTGAAAGTTGCACTTGTCTGTAAATCAATCTCACTCAGAAAAAAGTCGATAAATCGGCATTTTTTAAGAAAGTCTTTTTTAGACTGAACCCATCATATTTATTCCAGCAGTCAGACGTTCTATGGGTGCCTCAGTCAAAATTTTCTGACCTGTGGGATATGAGTGTCTATCCACTCTCATAATCAATATTATACACCTTTCTGATTGATCCTTTAAAGTTTGCGTAATAGACAAAGACAAATATTGTGGTTCTTGATCATAACTTTTTTTACATTTTGATTTTTGACATTTATTTTATTTTTTTCAACATGAGCACACTCGTTACCGCAAAATATTTTCATTGGAAATTACTTCATAAACAGTTATGATTATTTTTCTGTTTCAATATTTTGAGGTAACGACTGTGCTCTATGTGAAGTCCACGATTAATTATGTAAAATTTGAGCATTTTTCCGGAAAACCTCGAATCATGCTGCGGTTTAGAATATGACATCGTAATATCTGGTTTTGACGAAAGTGTTGCACAGTGAAATCTATCGATGTTTTAGGTTGATAATAACCCAAAACATATTTTCTAATGTCTTTTTCATAATTTACAAATTTGCTAGGCCAAATATGGCATATTGTGGGTCGAATTCTTATAACAAAAAACTATTTGTTCTCGTCTATTTTAAATTACACCGAATTCTTATTTTCGACAAGATTTTGGCTTTGATGGCAATAGATCAAATGATTTTCAAATATTTTAATAAAAAAAAATGAGAGAAAGAAAAAGAAATTAAATAATTATAAATGAAATGTTTGTTCGTGCATAAAGCATTGATGCTTCCTGATTGTACAGCTCACATGCACATACATGTATACATTACACATAAAAATTATATATGAAGAGTTTTTGCCTTAGGAAATTATGTAAATAACTTGCAGCATATACTCTTCAGACATAAAGAAATATTAGAAGCATTTATTTGTATTTAATTTCTGAATGATAATGTATTGTACATGGGATACAATTAAAACAGGAATATACAGTCTTGTCAATTCCTAATCCACTATGCTGCTGTATTTTTTATATTATTTTGTTTACATGTGATCTTCATTGTCTCTACTAAAAATGACATGAGAACAGTTATCTTTATTGGTTTAAATCACTAAAAAAACTGTTCTGTTTAAAGGCATTCCTCTTTGATCTTCTTTGATCATGCAGCAGGAGAACATGAATATTTCAGAATTATTACTAACACACATTATACCTCTCGTAAATCGAGCACATGCACTGAAAACCACAAATATAATCAACACTAAATTAAAACAATGAAATGGGATGATACCTTTGTATTTACACTATAAGATGATGGAACATGTATAATCATGATATGTACAAAAAAAAAAATGAATTAAAAGTTATCACAAACAATTCTCACACATATTTTTTACACTGGAGTTTAAATTTCATTGCAGTGCTATACCACCCCAATATATTAGTTTTATAATAAAAATACGTTGTCAAAATTTTTAAATGGCATGTTGGTCGATCCATCCAAATGGACAATAACCTATTTTTCCGGTAGTTAAAAAATACATTGCAAACTACATGTATAACTATTTTTAAGGCAATGGATCCAAGAAAAGTATCAGACCTATCTTCGGAATTTATAAGTTACCTCCAAAACTCCGTCAAAAAATCAGGATTGATTTTATGGCGGTCATCTAACTGGTGCAGAGGACAATTCATTGAGGCACCTGTCCTCAACTTTTTCTCCTCAATAAAATTATCATCGATTTCTATACCAATAATCTGATTCTTTTTTTCAAGGCAAGTAAATCCAGTTGTATACGAAAGATGTTTGTGAAACGTATTTGAGATGTCCTTCAAAGTTGCGTCAATACATTGCCTTATTGCTATTGTGATTTCTTTTTCCAAACACCCGCCTGCTTCAGAGTGCAAAATTTGAAGCTGGATAGAGTTACATGTAACAGCAACTACCAGATAATGATCCCTGTTGTTAAAAATTGCTGTGTTTTTGAACAGACATGTTGTTCCTTTACTTTTAAGGACCTCCAAATCTTCTATTTGCATTAATGTCACAACAAGGCGGTAATATAAAAAAAAAGGCAGGAAGTCAAATAGGAACACCAAAACCGGAGTTTTTGACTCAGAAGATTGGATAAACTCTTTCTGTGCTTTATCGAATTTCTTTTTATTCATAGAAGGCACATAATGACATTCCATTCCGACGGCTATCAATCCTAGCCTCATCATATACATAAGCAAGGTTGTCTTGTGATCCAAATAATGTCCACCGTTTCTTCTAATTTCACCGCTTCTTCCTAATACCTGTGATTTCATATCCTCTAGTTCCCAGATTCCTTCTAAAAGTGTATCTTTCAGATTTCCTGTTTCGTAATATTCCTTCCAGTCTATTTTACTTGCATGTATCCCTTTCACGTGTAACTTGTCTGTAATGATGGTTTTGAATGCGTTTATAAACCATTGGACATCTAGGATTACTGATTTTTGAAGACCATCCTCGTTAAAGAAGAGACATTTTCCAGCATCATGATAGTATCGAAGCATGTCAACAGCATTTTTCCTTTTGTCAAGATGTTTGACGGGCAACCTTTTATGCAGCTCTTTAAATTGTAATATCGGCTGATTTTCATTTTCATTGATTTCATCATTGAGAAAAACCCATTCGTGTGGTATTTCCTCGTTCCACCTTGAGTTTAATGTGATATCTAATATACATTTCTCCAGATCAGCTAACGGTTGAGCGGGTGGAAAGTGTGCCAAAAAACATTTGTCTTCTCTAATATATTGAGTCGTATCAGAATCGTTTGGCAATGCATTGTATAAAGATTGCAAAAGAGAATCCTTGTTCTGTAAAAAGAATGTAGAATCACCATGCATGTATATCACTCTAACTTTACAATGTTTGGAAAGAACACAAAACTATGTTATGACGAATTTTAGAAAGTAGAAGTTTGATTAGGGTTAGGGTTTGATACTGGCAGCATCGCAAAAGCAGTAATATAAAAGAGGAACTTTGAATTAAAATAGATGTAATGTTTATGGTAGAATAAAAAGAAAAATAATGTTGTCTGAAAAATTACATTATCACATACACGTATGCCTTAAAAATTAATAAATAATGACCTTGTATACTGATTCATCCCAGTGCGTTGCTACTATAAGTACTTCTACCTTATCTTCACTTCCATGTTTTACAGATGAACAATAGGTGTGGATAGATTTCAACCAAAATACAAAATACTCTGGAACATGAGCCTTATTCATTAGTATGAGAGAAATAAGAAATCCTACGTATTTCATTCACTAGAAATATGCAGAAAAATCAATAAAATTCTTGCAGTATAATGCTGTCAATGACTCCTATACAAAGTTTGAGAATTTTCAATTTCTATTTGAAGTTTTTTTTTATTGACACAGTATTACATTAAGATTAAACCTTTGTATGTCCATCCAGAGAATACGGTGTCCATCTGGTCACACACCGCTTTATCCACCACCTGGTCAAGGTATTTAGAGGCGTCTACAACCACAATGTAAAAGGCTCTACGGGTCAGGTAAATCTGATGACAAGCATAGTATGCACACTGTCCTCCAAAGTCAAAGAACGTTAGTGTCTTAACTGAGGGTTCACTCCTCTTTTCTTCACTCTTCTCAAAAATATCTCTAACCCGGGCTCTTCCTGCGAGATTCATGGTAGAATATTTTATAATAATAAAACACACATTTTTTTTCCAATTTGTACAATAGAGGCTTAGTCGTCATATGAGCATAACAAAAGACAATCTTATCATTGTTTAATTTAAATCCTTCTTTCCTAATCCTAGGTATAATAAACATAACGTGCTTATATTTATTTCCATGAACACTTTCATATCATGCTAAGTTTCAAAATGAAAATATGGGGCTTTCTTTTACATGAGTTTAGTTTACTATTACAAAGCAATCTAAAAGAATTGTCATTCTTTACAGATCTATCGTGTCATATCGTCCTGTATCCTATCGTATCGTGCGTGTATCCTATCGTATCGTGTTTTCCGTTTATCGTGTTTTGCGTTTTCTATCGTGTTTTCCGTTTATCGTGTTTTGCGTTTATCGTGTTGATCGTTTATCAGGCTCTATCGTGTATCGTGTTTTGCGTTTATCGTGTATATTCGGAAACCCTCGCTTTTTATCTTTACTACAGGAAAGAACTACCGAGGTATTCCGAGTTTCTTTTTCTTTTTGTTAACTAAAATAAGATTATTTTAACCAAGAAAGAGAAAAAGAATCTATTCCTTAGTTTTTCATCATTCAAAGAAATATTAAAGCGTGGAAGGAAAGAATAAATATATAAATAATACAATTAATAAATTAATAAAAATTAAAAAAATATAAATAAAATTAAGAAAATAATCATATCATAGTCAAGCAAAGAATCAAAATTAAGTTTTGAAAATGAAATAATCGATTGCCTGATTTATTTTAATTCATCGATCTGTTGATTTTTTGGGTCAAAATTTACTATTAATAATATTTTTTTTATAATTAGTCAAAGTCAATAGAGAGATTTTAATTTTCAGTAAGTCACGAGGTTTTAAGTACAGTACCTGATATATAAATGTTTTCATGTACATAAGTGAGAGCTTAGTGTAAACGTACATGTAAATGCGCAGTTGTAGCAGATTCATAATCTGTTGACACAGTTTACATGTATCAATGCACAGCACTATTATATTAACAATTATTTAGATTTCTCTTCAGGAAATTAGTTTTCCTGAAATATATAGTTCTTTAAAGCCTATTTCTTTGGTTCTTTCTTTCGGCCGGTCTTCTTAATGTATTTTTTCCCTAAGATTTAAATATTTAATTGCGAATTTTGGATACACCGCAGATTTTAAGCTTTAGACATTAAATACAAATATTTGATTTAATGCGTAAATTTCTTCCGTGAAATAAAGTAGTACTTGTAGATAAATGTATTAGGACTGGTACATATGTATATTTTTTTCATAAACAATAAATCTATTTGTAGAGTTTAATTAATTTATAATATATAGTACCTGTGAAAAACAGCACATAATTATGGAAGGGATTTTTGTGCAACAATTATGTTAAAATGTATGTTAAAATATCTATAATTAAACGAGTCATTGTTGACCCTTAAGATAAGAATTTCAACATTTACATAAATAATACATAGATTACACCCTTAAGTATAGAATTTAAAAAAAAAATATTACAGTCTCAATTTCATTATAATCTATTAAATCAGTGTTTAAAAATCTACAGTATATAAATGAACATTTTTTTAATTATAATATTTAAATGTACTTTATAATTTATATTTGAAGCTTTGCAAGTATTTGAATTAAAATATTGCGGTAAATAAACAAAAAAATCTTTTCTTCTTGTCAGAAAACGTTCCGCATTTTGAAACAATCCTATCAGGTTTTGCGTTTATCCTATCGTGAAGATCGTTTATCAGGTCTATCGTGTTTTGCATTTATCGTGTTTTGCGTGTATCGTGTTTTGCGTTTATCGTGTTTTGCGTTTATCCTATCGTGCGTGTATCCTGTCCTATCGTGCGTGTATCCTATCGTATCGTGCGTGTATCCTATCTATCGTGCGTGTATCCTATCGTATCGTGTACCCTGTAAAGAATAACGATGCGGGTACTGTATTATCACATAATTAATGTAAATACACAAATTTCGTACC